TTTTTCCTCAAGAAGACAGAGTCATCTCAACAAAATGGTGTAGAAGCGACAGAGAACTGGAGGGAGAAGTCTGCTGAAATACAGGTACACAGAGAAGCACACACTTGAAGCAACCATCATGCCGCTCAGTGGAGGGAATAGTCCCCTTGAATTCAATTGCACCAAATTGCACACACTCATAGATATTACTCCTCTAAATATGTCTGATTCCTTTTCCTGGGAAATCTCTCACAATGTTAAAAATAAATGAAAGACAAATCCTTTGATCTGCCCCTTTGTCCACATCCACCTCAAATTTGAATGGATCCTTCTTTGCACATGGTCCGTCCTTCCAACTAACTAACAAAGGGACAGGTGCTGAATATAACTTCTGTGGCAGAGGTTATAATAAACTGCTTATATTTATTTGTACATGGACACAAAAAGTCAGCAGGCACTGTGTATTTCGTTTCTCTGATGTATTGTGTGTTACGGTTCTCTTGTTGTACCTTGTACTTGTGAAGCACTTTGGCCAACCAAGTTGTTTTAAATGTGCTATGTAAATAAAATTGACATTGACATAAAGGAACCTGAGCTGAAGCGCACACCTCCCAGACCCTCATCATCCACTTCTCAGGGAAAGAACAGGGAAGAAAAGGCAAGTTTACCCACCTCACAACGTAATCACATGACATCACCACGACCAGGTCGAGTGAAGATGCATTCACTGTTTTAATGAATTGTTCTAACTGGTTAACCCACAGAATGTCCCATCAAACACAGCAGAACAGAAACACCATGAGGACAACTAGTGAATGAGGAGCACGGAGGATTCAAGGTCACGTCAGCATAACGCCCCCTGAACCACAGCAGATAACCAGGCAATGACTGCTTCTACAGGACCTATGCAGCTGAATGAATGTTATAGTTGGTAGTTCTTAAACTGTGGTGATGAGCCCAGTAACAATAATTTATGTTGTTTTGTTTTAGAAAACTCAAAGACAAGAATGTGACTTTGCTCAGACATAATTAGAACAAACGCAACAGGAAGTGGAGACAATATCAGAAACTCTTGTACAATACATTTGCAAATGATCAAACAGTGAAATCATAGACTGTAAATAACGATGGATGTCACATCTCTATTTCTTCCTACTATCCACAAATGAAGCTATGAACGCTGCCATCTTGTGCATTTGAAGGCAGAATGTGTAGTTGTGATTGGAGGATAGAGGTAGGAAGGTCCAACTCAACCAGCTGTCAGCCATGTTGTTTTTATAGCATCAAATAACTATTTAAAACCAAACTTACCATTATAACGTGCACTCGAACTGTAATGATAGAAACCATCTAACATATTTCAGTATTTCGATAGTTTTTTTTTTCCGGATGCCAGATTTTTGACCTGTACTCCAGCCAGCCACCAGGTGGCGATTGAGACGCTTTGGCTTTACTTCAGAGGAGCAGTCATGTCGTCCCTCTTCATATTCAGTTATTTTATTATCATGTAACTATCTGACTTTATGTTTTGATCTAATCTTAAATAATGAATTAAATTGTCGTCTCCAGAGCCACATTATTCTCATGGCTCATAAAAAAGTTAACATCATAAACTTCACCTGGGTTGTATTTGTTGCAGGGATTCAATTTGATTGCATTATATTGTAGAGAGTAAATGATATTGTGTCCACAATGTTTTACAGGGATAATTCTGATGCAGATGTGAGTAGATGGCATTCATTTACGATGTGTACATAAGAAACAATATTTTGTGACATTTGAAGTCTAACTGTGTCTGATTTGTGAAGAACAAACATGAAAATGATGTTTTGCTAACTTTTTTTTAAAATTCAGCTAAATGACAAGCTGAGTAGATGCAACAAAGTCATCTGTACAGTGCTCTGTGTCAATTTAAAAACACTGTGAAAATAAAAACATATTAAGATACGTGTGAATTCTTTCTGAATCCCTGTTGAAAGAAAAAACAAGGTCACTCACAGTCACAGTATTTAGTTGTGCTTTATTACTGCTACACAAAGAACTCGAGACAGTTACAGTGGTACCTCTACCTCAGTATTACATCATATATACATTACAAAACTGTATTATCCCCTTGCTAAGCAGTTAATGTCCCAGTTAGACCAGGAGATGACATCTCCTTGGTCCATTTTAAAACACCAGCTTTATTTGAATTTGTTCTCTATTTTTATGCAGATGCCAGTCCCATGGCGGGGCAGCAGGGTGCCTACACGTAAAAGTTAACAACCACCAACCACCGATTTCTATGTGAGCACCATAAATCTAACCCAGCTCCAGGGTGAACTCTGCATGAACTAACTTCCCTTTCCAACTCGGTGTGAGAGTCTCTGACCAGGTCTCCTGAAGCTCACGCTGAGTTCACTTAGGCACAATTCAGCACAACTGTTGCTCCGAGGAGACGTTGTCTGAATCTAAATTGGCCCCTTCAGTCCCGCTGTAGCGTCTAAAGCCTTCTTAACTTCCTGCCGAGGAAACATTTGAAGGTACGGAAGAATTTGCTCCAATTCCGATGTCCGTTAGAGCACAGACTGGGTGATATTCTGCTGCCCTGCGTCTTTGTCCTCGATGGAACTTATAACACACATGGTGATTCCAGCCATGGTGAGAAACATCCCGGCAACACCCTCTGCAGAGTGAGGTGAGGGGGAGGATTGACAGAACATAAAAGTAAAAAAAAAAGAAGACATAACACAACCAGAGCAGTAAAGCTGCTTTCACACATGCTCTGAACTACCAAACATTTGCCTGAAATTCTCCAGATGGGCTGTATCTGAGAAAGAACATTTTTGAGTTTATCGCTCCCGACATTTTACAGAACTGGCCGAGTGTGACTGGAAAACAAGCTTCTGTATCAGTATCAGCAACATTTCAGACTTACGTTTGCCTCCAAACTCTTCACCCAGTAACTTGCCAGTGAGCAGAGTGCAAAGGAATGTGAGCGAGTTGGCCACAGGGACAACGAGAGATAACTCTGGGTAAAGAGTGAGCGAATATTAGATACAACATTTTCCAAACAAAAGGATTTCAACTTCAAGTTGATAAATATATCTAATTTAGTAATGAGGAGCTGCATGGAAAAGAAAAACAATATGCACACTAACAACTATAGTTCAATGGAATTAAACTGTAATTTAAAGGATATGCTGTTATACTGTTAATGCAGTATCTTCTATCCATGTACAATACGACTTGAATGCAGTGATTCCTTGTGACAGTGAATACATTCACATGGACACTAATATTCTGCCTATTGACCTTATTTTGAATAAGACATTACTCAAATTATGGTGTTTACATTAATTGCTAAAAGAATATTCCATTCATAGTCCCCTTTACATGTTACAGAGCCTGATTAGGACTCACGTCAACATTTCATGTCTTTTTTTCAAAGCAGACATTTTGACTTGTCACAGCAGGAGAGGCCCAGGTGTTCATGATAATAACATTAAAAATATATCTGTCCCTATAATTAATTTGATCATTTACAACTGTTCCTCTCCTACTGTGACATGTCAAAACGTCTGCTGTTAGGAAAAAGGGCCTGTAACAGAGGAAACCATCAGACTGTGATGTAATTCACTTCATCACAGTCTGATGGTCTCCCCACCTGGAGTGTCTGGCTCACCTGAGGTGGAGAGTGTATAGTAGTAGACTAAAGAGCCACACTGGTTCAGGAGGAAAGGGACCAGGTACTGATGGAGAAGGCAGAGAGAGTTCAGTTAATCCAATTATAAGGAAAAGCAATGATATCACACATGTGACAGATAGATTGTACCAGCTAAGAACCATGGCTAAATTAAATTCGTCCACAAAAAGATCTAGAAACATTTCCTGCTTTTATCAGCTCTACTTCCTGACTCAACATTCATTGCAATACAATGAAAAACGCAGCTGCTAATAATAAAAAGCAACACGTCACAGACCTACTCTGGATAACAATTACATATAGATAGATTGATTTTGAAATGTTGTTTTTGTTTACAAAGCCCTTAATGGTCTAGTTCTCATGGTCACTAATAGGCAGACAGCTGTCTGAAATCCAGACCCAGTCCTATCTGGACTCACACCAATCCTTTGCAGCACTGCTTCAGCAGCCCAGGAAACTCTAAAAAGGTAATTGAGTCTGTTAAGTGAAAATTAATTGACAAACAAAAACCTAATTCACACTTTTTATTTTCTTCTTATTTTAATTTCTTAACTCAAGCACTTTTTCAAAATAAAAGGCTTCTGTTCTCTTTCTATTATTGTAATAACTTTCTTTGATTTGACAGTCAGTTGTTGACTACACATAGACAGACATTGATATATCTAATATTTCAATAAATAATTATTTTTTTGAATCACACACTAGAGAGATATGATGACATCCCAGACCTTTGCATGAGGAAAATGTCTTTCTCTAATCCTCTCTGGTTCCACATTCTGCCCCCAGCTCACTGAGGTCATCCTCACAACAACTCCAACCTTTTCAATCTTGGTTTTAATTCGGCTTGAGTCTGTTTTATGATTCTGATCATGCTTATCATTATCATTATGTAGGTTTAAGGGGCGGCTGTGGCTCAGAGGTTAGAGCGGTCATCCTCTAACAGTCCTCTGCACGCTGAAGTGTCCTTAGGCAAGATACTGAACCGCAGATTGCTGCACATAGATGCACTGTGTGAATGTGTGTGTGAATCGGTGAAGGTAATACTGCACTTTAAACTGTATATATAAACACAGACCATTTAACATATCTTTTCAGCCTTTTACTGTTTTCCCCTCATCTACAACTTTTCATTTCTAGCATTGTACATGTTATATTTTCTCCAAGTTGTGTTGCTTTGCCAGAACTGTAAAGCACTTTGCCTCAACACCTGTTATGGATCACTACAGTATCTATCCACCTGATTTCACTGTGCCATATAGATCAATCGGAGTTGTGCAGTGTACAGTATTGAAGTGGGACCTGGTGTCAGGTTGTACCTTGGTGTTGAGGAACAGGAACTTGACCTCCGCCAGCAGCTGGGTCAGTCTGCCGGACCCCCTAACATCCTCTATCCCCGCGGTGCCCCTCTTCAGGAACGGGTTGGTGCAGCCCCACAGCACCGACACCAGCAGGAGACTGAGCAGGTCCACTGCCAGTGAACACACTTCAGTCACCACTAACATCCCCTGCTACTGATGTCATGTAGCACATCTGTTTAACATTAGCTTAGCCGTGCGGGCTAATAGTAAATACAGTCTATGGTTAAAACAAACACTGCGGTTAGCATCTGGGCTACAAACGTTAGCAAGAGTTGGCTAACTTCCTTAGCATGAATGAACTTTCTTCCTCGGCATAGTGTTAGCCACTGCTGGGTTAGTGATGCGTTGTTAAGCCTGTTAATGAAGCGAACACTTGTCTATATCACAACACACACACGTGGTTTAAAGATAATAGTGAATATGAGGATAAATAGCTTGCTAGCTTGTTAGCTTCACTCACCGACAGTCACCATCGTAAACAGCCGCTGTGGAGTCGCATTCAAGAGCGCTCCGTATTTGTGAGTCAACATCAACGTTCGTATAATGAATAGCCTCAATTATAT